AAGATTGCGACTATTGCCAATAGCCGCAGCCTTCTCCATCTGTCTACACTTTCCTATCCACCACTTCTCGCGGTCATTCCTCAGGCTCTTGATGAGCTGGCGTTTGAGGGATTTCCGCGCTGTATCATATGCGGCATCAGGAGCAAGGGTTCTGCGGGCGTCCAACACGGCAGCCTAAGTCTATGAGATCCATCGTGTGTGTTTTGAGTCTGCCGGTGGGTTTAAAGTTGTTTTTATTGATATTTGCAAAGCTTCCTTGATTTGTCCAGTGTTCATTGAGTCCTTTGGCTGGTGGTTGAACTGACAGGCGATCGGCGAGTTCCTCTTCGAAGGCTGATTTGGAACAATCGCTGACGTTGTATCGTAGGTATCCGTTTTCGGTGGCTTTATTACGGTTGTTTGTCAGGCGTACGGAGAATTTAGCTCGCAGCAAAGCGTGGTCCGCATCCGCAGATTTTGACCAGTAAAAGCAGCAGTCTCCAATCGATCCCCTCCAGTCGTGACTGAATTCCTCCTTGATTTCAGGTGTACTGCAATCGGTCGGTGCATACACAGACACAACGAATAGACATCGAAGCTTCGTTCGGTGGCTGTTGACCCGCGTTGTACCGTTCAGACGTACTGCGCAAGGTCGGCTGTTAATCGTGATCCATTCGAGAAGTGAACGCTCGGCCGTGACACTTAGCGCAATCCCAACGCCAGCAACACCACGAGCTTCGGAAGCCGAATCGCCTGGCACACGAAGGGTGAAGTGTGAGGTTGAGGTTGGATCAGAAGAATGCAGGGAGATAATGGAAGTGGGGTCTTGTATGCGCGTTTTGGAGACACAGCACACATCTTAATTAAAAGTTTCAAGGGTTCTAGCTAAGGCAGCTTGTTGACTGATATGATGGAGTGTGCGGACATTGAACTCGGCTAAGTGAAAAGGGAATTTCGGCTTCAAAAATCCTGTAACTTCTGAATGTTTGGACTTGTTGGTAAAACGCTGAGTGATATCCGATGTGTCTTGTAAATAGCAGGCGTTTGGGATTATTTGGGATTTAGAGGAAGAACTAGACAGATGGGAAGAAGGTTTTTCTAAATGGGTGCCTATGTAGTGCGAAGATTTCTCCCACCGTCGACAGAAAGCCCCAGGTACCCCCTCTCCTACGTCCATCTAGCTGGGGTTTTTACCGGTAAACTGCCCCTCACCTTGTTTATTCGCTGGAGTGACCTCTCCAGGGGCGGGCGTGAATAGAAGAAGGAAGTCTGGAGAGCCCCAAGCAGCTGACTTTGTGAGACTGAGCTTCGTCTAGCCTCTGCCCGTTGACCTTCCAGGCATGATTGGATCTACGGCTGTGAAAAGCCATCTTGTGTAGCTCGCAGGGTCATGGAGACACGCAAACCATCGCACCACGTCAAGGTGCAGTCTCGTCATGATGGGAGATAATGCCAGTCAACGAGTCACACGACACAGATTCCAGACANTTAGGAAGCCGGTATCCTGGACCAATTAAATTCTTTTCGGCCTACTCAGCAATCCCTGATTTAGAAGTACACGAACGACGATTGTTTAACACCTGGTGAACCAGTAATATTGTCTTGTTTGATTTTTTCCAACAAACTTAACGTTACTTTTGTGGCTTTTTCCCCATTTCCTGGTTTCGGGAGATTTCGATACAGACTTATTAGTACCATTTCGATTCCTGATCTCCAGATATTTTTTACATTTGATGCAAACGTTTTCCTCAGCTGAACCAACCTTCAAAATATTTGAAATGGGTCTTGACTAAAATCACAGTATAGCTCATAGATTTTCTGTAAATCCCACTTTCCACTTCAGGAACTTCCTCTGTTAATCGCCACTAATAAACAGTATAACTTGCGTCATCAGATTTCCGTTGCATTGTCAGCAGGCATTTTTAGCTCTGAATCCATAACCGACGTGCACTTATACACATTCTAAACTTGATAAAAAATGTTTTTCACTGTCTTCCTCGCAGCACCAAATGATTTATCCTCAGAGTTTTTGATCGATACCGGTTCCGCTAACATTTCTAAAACCTTGAGATTTTAACTGATAACTAATTTCCCCATTCATTCGGAACCACAAATCTGGGTGGTTATCAACATCAATAAACATACATTCACACTAATTCAGTGTTGATGATTTGTATTCATTAACTCTGTTAGCAACCAACGAGTGATTCAGCAAAATCGTGCAGTGAAATGAAGATGACAGCTACCAGTAACATGGATAGAGCGGCGACCAATTAGCTACAACTTTATAAGGACCATTAACGTCGGTAAACATTCAGAATGGTTGAGTGAAAAGTGGGAATATTTTAGAGACTGCTGCCTCTCAAAGGTGTTATATTTAAAAGTGTATTCCTTATAAAAAGGATTTTTGGGGTCTTGGGATTTTTGTTAACTTATTAAAAATTACTTCCCGAGTGTGCGACCTTCGACAGACTAGAGTACAAATGACTGTCATTATCATGACTATGACAAAAATAGTTAGTGTATGTACATATCTCTCGTATCACTTTGAAGCCCCATTAATTCACGTGTTGATAACTTGCATCACATACATTCGTAATGCATCCAGCTTCAATATCCACTAAGTGAATATTAGTACATCCTAAAGGAAGGATTATTCTCTCATTGCGAATGAACAAAAATGACCAATAAGGTCCACACAGCTAATCAGCGAAGCGAACAGTCACGTGATGTTTGCAACCACTAAGCATTAACTGAGTGATTGATAATGGCCACGAAGATCAGACAATCACGTGTTTCTAGGCTCTAGTTGAGCGCAAGCACTCGTAACAGTCACAATGCACGAACAGATCTTCTCGAGACCCTTTGTGCACTCGTTTTTATTATAGTGGGATACCAGACTAATATGTTTTGCTTCAACTTATACAAAAAAATGACAAAACTCATGACAAGATTACATGAGAACAATGCAATATATTAGTCGCAAGTGAACCCATTCGTTCACTCTAGACAGATAATTTTGTTAATTGGACATCACGGGAACTTGAAATCTGAAAATGCACGGTACTTTCTACATTACTGTGCTGGAGTAGAAACTAAATGTATCTCGGCACACTGCTCATGCGTGACCTGAACTAATGAGCATATTTGATGACCAAAATGTGAGCTACATGGCATCATGGAACTGAAACGTGATCACTTTTTCAGTCTCTGTCGAATTTTTATCCCACCAAACATTGCGATATTCACTCACCTGTGGATAAATCACCGACATCAAGCTTTTTCGCTACTATGTGTTCTTCTCATAATGCTTGATCATTGTATATTCGGAAAGATATATACAATAATTCTATCACTCCAGTTGAATGCTTCTTGACCACGATATAGTGGTCCTCCCAGCAAGAACAAGACATTGTGACTCTCATGGAATCCGTTCGGTAAGTCCGGATTGATTTTCACACATTTACCAATCCAAGAACAGCACAAAGTTAAATATCTACAAACCTCGTTCACAATTCCATAATTAGCAGAATACTGGATTTTTAAACGGAAATCAATACAGGCTGTATTATATTGTATTGAACTAGTATGATTACGCATAAGCAGTGTTTTAAGGAGGGAAGTATCAGCGGAACCCAAAATAAAACGTAAAACAGTTTTATCAGACTTCAAAGCTTCGACACAGCTGTGATTGATACCATAGTTACGTGAATGACCCCGTGACATCTGCCTCCAGATAAATTTGTTTTCCAAATTGGATTCGATTGCTTTGTTTACATTTGAGCTCTGTGATGTTCAATAAACACGTACTGCTCGAGACATAGAACAAAATGAGCAGCGTGTGTAGCGGACGTGGATAGATTCGCTAACATTGTGGGAATGGCAACGAGTCTATCCGACTTTAGCAGAAGGTACTTGTACCTGATTAAATTGGAACTGCCAAACACACGCGATCCATGGAGTGGGGGTTGGGAGGTGGGTGCCTACGGCCAGGGGAGTAAGGCACAAGGCATGGGAATAGTCTGTTCTGGGTATTTTTAGAGCATACACCACGTTGGTTTGTGCATGTGTTGTAAAGGTGACTGAGTGAGGCGATAAGAGACAGCACTAAACCAGACCAAAAAGACAGGTAACAAATCGGGTTATCGCTTCACTTTCAGCGTGCTTTTTGTCTACTTCGAATTTGAAATTAACGCGCTTAATTACGATTCTAACATCTTGTCTGAATTTATGTAATTTATTGGTTAAGATTGTTGAAAAATAGCTTGGTAGACCATACACGAGGAGTCCAGGGACTCATATGGCTTGACATTTGCTATTTAAATACTAGATTTACTTGTTTCACTTATATATTGTGAATTATTGTGTTCCTTTATATTCCTTTATATTCTTACAATCATTCTACTTCTTGTTATTTATTAGATTAGTGTTTAATCCATCATTAGGAGGAGGAGGAAACCGATTAATCAAAAGACTATCCATGAGGTACGGGAAAATGAGAAAGCTAGGCGACATTGGTGAAATTCTTCAGATAACCTCCTGGGTAATATGATCGTAGTCCACGCCGCTTTACTACCGTCACGGCGTTTGAAGTCAACTTTAACTACATTCCCTTAGAATACCATTGTAACCCATTGTAATATATTACCGAATATGTTCTTCATTTATTTCACTCAACCCAAAGTCAATAATCTCCATGAGTTAAGAGATCCAATGCCGTTGTCAGTCTTTCACTCAAGTGGTTTTACCACAGCTAGCAAGTGCCGTGCTACATACATAATTCTATGAACACTCATGGAATTACATAACCTCATCGATTACCTAACCACCGATACAACGTAATTATATGGGGGAGATATCTTTAACACACGCACACATATCACATCACAAACAACCTGTATGAAATACTCAACGAGTTTTTCTCAATCTGACCTGAAACTTAAACCCATTGGATTGAACAGAGTTCAGCTCATTTCACTCACATGCCATCTCCTTCGCCGCACCGTGTCCTACAAGCACACGTCAACTCGACACAAAATCACTCGATGGTAAGACGTCATAATCACTGGTCCTGCCATTGTTCTGTCAGCTGAGAAGTGGTCACTGCTGTGTGTCCACGTTCATGTGCACAGCCCCTGGCCATCATTTCATTCTATATAATCACTGGTCCGTTCTGACGATGCACGTGCATGTATATTGGCCGGACCACATAAACACGCGCACACACACACACACATACACACATGAACACGTGCGCCGATGATGTCTTTCGGACTGGGGTTGTTCGACCAAAGATCGATAAACAAGCACAAACTGAGCTCAAAATGACCGAATACACCCTGGATAACATATTCGTATCAAACTGATCAAAAGATTCAGTCGCATCATTATCATCATCAACGTGTAGAACTGAATAGCTGCTTAACCTGCCTCGTTCACAATCATCAACTCCACATCAATTGCGGACCTCAAACGCTGGTGCAAGAGGTTGCCAATCCAATGCGCTCCAACTGCATCCTCTTGGAATCCCGTAACATTGTTGAAAGTGAACATCAAACAAGGATTTTGGAGATTACGTGTCAAGGTGCTGATATAAATAGGAAACAGTGGTAGTCTTAGGCACTTTGCTGGTAACCCTTTCACGTTCGCTCATAAAATCGCCAACATTCACACAGAACGTGCGATGACTGAGAAACTGCATGACTCAATTTCTCGCTCCACCCCGTATCCCTTGCGATCCAGGAACCCGTGGGTGATTGAATGGAAGCCCTTGCTGAACTTTCACCTTTCGAACTTCGTCCAGCCTTCTAGTGATCTCATTCCCATGGTTCTTCCCCTGTCAGCTCCGGGGATTCTAGTATCCAGATACCCTACTCTGCTGTTGCACTTAAAGCCACCTCAGCTATGCGACTATGACATTGTGCCAATGAGGCTTCCGGCTCTGTGCTTTACACTCGGCAGAAATCTTACCACCAGGTGATCACTTTTACTAAATAATTCTTCTACTTTTGTTGCGTACCTTGTTATTGTTAGGTGCAATATGTGGAGGGTCTCTGTTGATGGCTGATTCTAGTGGTCTGCATAACGTGCTCTGTCCACAGGTGGGAGTGTATCCATTCGAGAGTAGCTTCTCCGGTAGAACCGCTAGATGCGCATGCATACACTCAGTTTGCCTCTGGGGGATTTAGGTCCCAAACTATAAGGACCCTCCGGGATAGGAATTCTTGATTAACTGCAAACAGTTCCATTTCCTCACCCAAAGTAGCCTACGGTGCATTATACATAATAGATACACCTGGTGGCTTCCTACAATAAAAGCATGTTGCATACTGTCTTCTGGATAATCGGCGTAGCTAGGGCGGCTTGTCCATTCCAGTGATTGATACTAGCTTTAAGCAACAACAATGCTTCATCTATACACCATCTTTTTTATCCTGTCTGTAGATTGCATAATTACTGGGACAATTAAAGACCTGTCCATTTTGCACCTATGTTACTGTGCTCACGATGATCACTGAATCCTGGATACGAGCTCAAAGTCCATCCCCACTTTTGTTTTATACCACTTGTGTACCACATAGTGGTTAGTCTGTCTCGTTTCCGGTGAGCCCTCTGCATAGGGTTCCAGGGGAAACATCATTTTTGGACTTTTCCTCAGCCGCAGGCTGTCAATTTTCCAGGAGAATAGGTGACCTCCCGACAGCTAATCCACAGTTCTCACCTATGGCTACCAAATCAGTCTGTTGATAGCATGGTGTTTACCCAACCTGACTGGGGCCTCTACTTGACGTTTTAATCAAGATGGTTGTCCAGCATTTAGTCGGCAGAACTGTTACGCCTATAGTCACGATTGGCTTTCGGTTCCTCTTTCGTTTCCTTCGCTTCGTCTACCTTCGTTTTTACTATCATCGACCGTTTTTCCCCAACACGCTATTTTTTCAGCTTCTTTATCCAGCCTTATCCTCCGTGGTGTTGACTTGCTTAAAGGTGAGCTGACAAAGGGGCGTCATCCCGGGTCTTATCTTTTGTTTACCCGATTAAGACCCGTGTTTCGTGTCGTTTTTGCTTTAGAATCTNTAGAATCTCCGGAGAAGATTCTGCGATGTGGATTGTACACTGGGAATCTGTCCTAACGATCGAGTGACGCGCAAATCCCGAAGTCAACATAAGACGAGCGTACTATTATAGGCAAAGAACGATTAATGTAAAATAGGTATAAATCTCGAATCGTGAAACCAATTGGGGAATGCGTGTCTGCACTGTCAAGGCACGGCCAAATGATAATGCGTTATAGTCAAACAGCATTGTGCACTGTGCCCAAAGGAGCCTTCAAGGGCTGTCAAATTGTTCGACTCAACGACTGCGGGTGCGTGCAGTTCAACCAAAGTCAACGGTAAGAATGTCTTAGGTGTCAAGCACACGTGCACACGAATCCAGTGGATGACAGTCAGCCAATCAAATATACGGGAGCAAAATACCAATCACGTGAGGGATGGGAAAAATGAACTTGTGTGCACTTGTACATCTGTGTGTCGATCGGTGGACCGGTGGAGGCCAAACGGGTTGCTAGTAAAGAGAGCGTGGAGCGACAGGGCCGAGCAACTAAGTGACGAAGGTGATATGGGTCACGAGTGAGGGAACACAGTCCGCCCGGTTGATAAGTCCACTTGGTCAACTCAGGCGCAGCACGTCTAGAAATCAAGATGAAGGAGGGCGGTGGTGGCCAAGTGACCAACTTGTGACCTCGGAGTCCCGGGTTCGAACTGCTCCACCACCGCCCATCTTCCCTGACAACCTTTGTATGGCCGCGGCCCCCCCCTTCTTGGATGTTGATTGTATATTTGTATATTTAAATAATAAAAAAGGAAGTAAAAAGACATATTATACCATTAGTATTGCACAAGGATGACTGAAAAAGTGTTCGCGTAATTTGGAGTATGAATGCCGCAAGTCTGTTTAGAGAGCAAAACGGATTTAACATGCCTTGTTTCACCTTTTGTGCAAGTACCCGTGGACCATTTTTCTTAACTCTTCCCAGATCATTTTGGGCATTTTTTAAATGCCTTTTTACTGACTCATCATCAGGGTTGTTTTGATACCTCCCCTGGTGCTTATTTTCTTTTCTAGTGTCTTTTTCCAGCCCCAGATCCCGAGCATAGGTACCGCTAAAAACTATCAGGATAGATCTTGTCTATTACACTTATAACTCCCACCATAATCTAATACGTTTAAAATTCACTTCTTGAATATATCTTCGGTCAACTTTATGTTTGACCCTACTATCCCTTATGGCAGGCCCAGGGATATTGTAACGCGAGAGTTATTTTTCTCGGCCTAATAGCATCGGCTGGGCTTGTTTTCATTTTGCTTTCCAATGTCCCGATTTTTCATTAAGGACAGCGATTTCCGCCGTCTTCACTGGTTCCTTCTTTAATCGTTTTAATCGTTTTGTTTTTTCTTCAGCCTCTACTGCCGGTCTAATCTTGTCTTTAAACTCTGGTTCAGTGGTTGCCTTCATCCCCTTAAGATGCGCGAGCACTCTTTCGCCAGAAAAACGCAATGGTTTCAGAGCCGTTTTATAGATGAATTCTGCCCATAGAGCAAATAGTCTTGTTTGGTCAGTTTGCCGCATCTTCGATAGTACACCATGCTCTGTACTGGATTCGATTTTGAACCCGCTCTCGTCATCACCTAACGGACACCACATGGGTCGGGACTGAGTGCCGTTTTAAACTAACAGAAGTTGAAATCGACAAAACGAACAAAAACGGGACCGTAACTGCATGGAAAAAATGCCACGAAGAAAACCGCTGAACACTCGAAAACAAACGATAAAACGGGTAACAATGACCAGTCAACGCCAGCCAATGTCGAATACTGTCAGATATCTTGAGATATTCCATACATGAACTGACAACAATAAAAAAGACCAAAATACTAATGTCAGCAGTGTGAAATATCATTCGATATTTCACTGGAACTTGACAAAACAAATTCGCATCGAGATAAATTTATGAATTCAAACAGCGCGCGAACATACCGACAATCCCATGGGGAACATAAAACAGCTGTCATATTTTTTTGGTGCCTATGACACGCCACTGCAGTTTCCTAATGTAATCTATCACCTGAATATAGCCGCGAAGTCAACGGTTAGACTGCGTGAAATTTGTAGGTGATATATCAATGACATACTAGTACTATCAATATGTCAAGAAACCGGAGGTCATTTCAACTCGTTCATCCAAGTATAAAAATTTATTTGGTAGGGATAAATCAGAAACGAAATTTGTTCTCCGAACATCTGATGAGCGGCCAATTATTCAGACGGTTCCGTCTAACGAGGTNTCTATCGACAAAAAATTAGAACAACGCGGTCCTTACACTTCTGACATTTAAGTCGAAATGGTGATGGTCAGACGGTTTACCTCATTGGAAGTAGTTCGTACGAAGTTTGAACTTTTCGCTCATCATCCAAATGTGATGTGATAGAGAGTCCCGCGGTGGTCTAGTTCAACATCGGGCCTTGTATGACTTACCATTCCGAATACCAGGGTTACTATTGGGTTACTATTTGCCATGAGTGATCAACAGACCCCAATGATTTTCGACTTTACCCTCCTTATCACCTCATCTTCTTGCGTGTTCAGAGTGACTGTGTTTGGTAACAAGCACATAACAATATTGTGCATCAACCTTGCAATCGGAATTAGGTTGCGTTTACTTTGTCAACCGGAATGAACACTCCACTCATTCTGCATTTGCTTATGCAGGTGTGGCACTCAGCTACAGAACTGCTATCACCTTGCACATGGGATCGATGGAAGAGGGCAGTTGATTCTGCTCTTCAGAATCATTTTATTACTCTGTCTTCTTATTGTCCACTCTGGATATCACTCGCTTTGGTCCCGTTGACATTCACCTATGACCTCCAGCACTCCTTTCTGTTGGTCTACTTATATGCATTCAGTCCTTGTTCAGTGTCGGTC